AGTTGCCCTATCCTACCCGTTCGGCTAACGACCCTCCACCAATCAAGGAAGCGGTGAGTGAGAGTGGACACCCATTAAACTACCATTTTATAGGCAGTAATCTTATACCACACTTATAGATCGGCTTCATGAATGAGGCCTACTAACGGTAAGACTAACATTTATTTTATACATATATAATAATTATTCTTATAATATTACAATAGTATAGGGTTGAATTTTAAACTTGTAAAATTCTAGGGTTTGGAATTTAATTATTTCAAAATTAAACTTTTGATCCAAAAAATTTAAATCCCAAAACTTGAGGGCAAGTTTTGAAACATTTCAAAACTATCTAGATCAAAATTCAAATAATATAATTAAACATTTAATTGGTGATTATCTAATTTTGACCTAATCTAATTTCATTCAAGATAATTGATCAAATAACTCAAATAATTATGATTTATCAAATAAGGTAATAATGATCTTATTAAATTATAAATATCTTTTATTTTGACAAAGATAATCACATAGAATCAATAAAATTCGGATTTTATTAATTAAAAACAATTATGGTAATTATCCCAAGTCAAAATAAGCAAAAATCCTGAATTTCCCTCTGTCTGACTCCCCGACTCGCCGAGTCCCTTACAGAACTCGTCGAGTTCATCTGACTCGTCGAGTACACTTTGGGACTCGACGAGTTTGTCAGGGAGAAGGCAAGAAAAACAATTTTAAGCAATGAACAAACATACCATGCATCAAATAAAATAGAAACCAAGCAATGCTCTGATACTACTGATGGGTTTTGAGCAAAAGAACATTCCTATGTACACATGCAAAACCCTAAAGCTTTGGATCTAGGTTTCTCTATTGTACATGCAAATTTATCCAAAGCTTTTAAACCCTAGATCTGGCGTATCAAAATCGAAATACATATAAAACAGGTTTAGATGTTTACCTCTTGATAGTTGCAAGAATCTTCTAGCTTTGAGAGCCTAGTATCACAAGTGTAATACCTATAATGGCTTACAAACACCAAGGCAAGAAGATGATCTAGGAGAGAGGGGATGGAGGCAGAATTTCGGCTATAGGAACTCTAGGGTTTCTTCTGGTAACCGAAATGTGCAGCCCTCGGGGCCCTTAAATAGCTGAGCTGCTAGGGTTTCAGCCAAAACCCTAATTGGATAACTTAGGCCTTAAGCAGTCCAAAGAACCTTCTGGAATAAGTCTTGGACAATTTCAAGGTGGGCTTCCACTCTAATTTCGTCCACCCTCATATCCATAAGGATCCACAGCCCAAAACTCAATTATCTTCTAATTGACAATTCCAGTCCCCTTTATTTAATTAATCTCTTTTAGCCACAAAATTAATTCTTAATTAATTCTTGACTAATATTAATTAAACAATATGATTTCTACTTTAGTATATTATTCATATAATATATTAATAAACCATAATATCCTCTCTCTCCATAAATCACCCTGTCTAGTTGCTTTGGTGAAGGCAACCCAAAAGGACTATGCTACAACCGGGTCAAGTACATACCAAATATAGTTATGGATAGACACTAATCCAACAAAATGTGGCTGTGAGAAGAACGAATACTGAATTTTGGGCACCAACAGGTAGATCGTATATTACCAGATCCCGAAAATTTGTTGGGTCATCAATTTCACTTCCTACTTCTCGACATCATTCTTCATATTTAAACATGTGTACATCCACATAAATTTGTTGGAGTAGAGGTCTTTGGTTGTTATAGAGGAGCGATGGTGGTTTTGGTTATAGATTAGAGGAGGTGATGTTGATTATAGATTAGAGGACGTGAACAGGGGCAACCTGATGAGAGAGAGGGAGAGAGGGAGGGATGGGGGGGGGAGAGAGAGGGAGAGAGGGGACCCTTTTAATTTTTAATTATTAAAATAAATAAAATAAGTATTAGATTTAAAAATGAAAGAAAAATTGAAAATAAATACCCCAATGATATTATAGTAATTTCAGCTTAACGAGGGACCAAATCTGCAACAAAACTAGCCCAAAAGGACCACGAAGCCAAAAAAAATCGAGGTTTGAACTATACCTCGAAGAAAATGCATTCCACAGGGACCATTTTCAGTTTTGTCATCATTTAATTATATAACTTATATATCTAGTATTCATTTTAAATTTCTTATTTATTTTTAAAATCTAATTATATTACCCTATAAATCATAATGTTGGAATCAATAAAACTTCTCACCAAACTCTCAGAAATTAGTTACATAGATTTCACGTTGCAAATAATTAATTTAAAATGCATCCAAACACTCAACGTAAGTTACAACAACCATATATTCTCTCTCCTATAAACAAGAAAAATTTGTTAACCTTTTCTATGTCCAAAACCATTATGTTAGGGATTCACACAATCAGAAGATGAAAAACATCACTCTCTTGAAATCAATAATAATGTCACTCCTATTTTTTCAAGGTTAATATCCACCTTTATGAATTTAAAATTCGACATTACTTGATGTAATAATACGTGACAAGGACTTGTGGGGTCGGAAGTCTGTCTTTTTGTCATGTTCATTATTGAGTTTTCAACCAGCAAAAGAGTTTCCATAACTCCGATGACATGTTAGAGATCTAGGATAAAATAAGTAACTCAGTTTCGGTTCAAGACCTAGTAATGACATTGTAGGGTTTTCCACATTTGTTAGTTTCCCTCATTGTTAACCGGTTAGCTTCTCGTATGGATGAGAATTTGGGCCAGAAACCCAAACCGAACCGAACCGAACCGAACTGCAATAAGCAATTCGATTAGGATTTCAGGTATCTATATAGGCTTATTCGGTTCTCGGGTTATTCAGTTTGGGTTACCCAAATAAGAGCTTATTCGGTTCTAAATACCCGACCCGAATAAGCATTCGTCGTTCCTTTTCTCTTATCGACAGAATTTAAAATCACGATTCACACTTCTGTCCTTGTCGCTCATAACAGAGAAAAACCCTACGCTTGTTCTCGTCGTTTCAAAATCGACCATTCTTCTCAAATATTTCCAAACTCAAAATCACTTATGTCGATCTTCCTCTTGTTTCAGACGTTCAAAAATCAACCCTTCCTATTGTCTCTAAGGATTCACGAATTCGTAATTTGTCTAGTAATGGAAAATTAGACGCCAACTCAAGAAACTCAAGTAAGAAATTAAGTCTCATTATGTTAATCTACTATGTAAATGCTATTTTTTCAATGTGTTATTGTGTTATGTTAGTTTTTGAATGTTTTATGTTCATTGTTATTCTATTATTCGGGTTATCACTACTAGAAAAAAGGCTTTTCTTGACAGACAAATTACGACATACAACACTTTTATGACAGGCATAAACGTCTGTCATAAAATTTATGTCATATATCGTAAAATATCAATGATTTACGACAGACAAAAATGTATGTCGTAATTTTATGTCATATTTTAAAAAGTAATTTAAAATGATTTTTATCTGTTAATAGTATAAGAAAAAGTTAGCAATCGCAAACAATAATACAATGATTCTATGTCGACAAGTACATGAACACTATATAGTATGAAAAAAAATTAAAGCAGGTTTAAAGGATGTGAGTTGAATATTAAAACCAATAAACCACTACATTAGTGCAAAAAAACTAATTACAAAGCAGGGAAAAAAACCCGAACAGTCTAACAATTTGAAAAAACTCTAGTTTGGTGTGAGGAGAAAAAAAAACAAAAAGATGAGTGTTTGGAAAAAAAATTATATTTTGGTGAAAACTCTTAAAAAAAAACCTGAAGAATGACCTTTATAATCGATAGTTTAGCATTATTTTTGTTTGCTAACCTACAAATAATTGTTATTATATATAATAAAACGATGCATGGTAGAAAATTGCATATATAAAAAGGAAAATTATGCATGATAATAGCTAGCAAAACAACTATTTTTTTAAATGAAATAAATGTTTGGATGGTTTGTAAAAAAAAAAAAAAAGAGTTGAAGGACCATTTCTAGTGTCCATCTTGATGTTGTTGGACTGGTCCAATTATATGAAAAAGTTAATTTGGAAAGAGCCCAAAATGAAATTACAGCCCAATTAGATAACTATAGTCCATGGAAAACCAATTAGGCCCAATTTCCTTTTTTTTTTTTTTTTAAGAATGCCGAGCGATTCTGGACCGCAATACGTATTTTGTTGGGGGAAGCTTGTGGAACGCGAGCGTAGAATGGTTGAACTTTATCTTTAAAAATTGGACCATTATTGTGTTGTAGGGATAGCCCAATAAAACCAGAAACTGGATTGGGGAAGCCCAAAATAGGATTCTTTGCAGCTCATCTCGAAATTAGGCCCAAATGAAGATTTTCTTGTTTGAACGTACTAGGGCACCCACAGGCCCACTTGTTGACGTATGTTGCCCTTACATCTTCGATCTCCAAGGAAGGATGCGCTCGGCGACTGGACACCTAGTGGTCGGAGCTGTGATGCTATTTCCGGCGCCGATTGATAGTACGGGAGTCAACAGTTGCTACGGGCGGTGACGACGGAGACCGCCAATGGAGCTGTTTCAGCGGATCTCACGTCAGCAAGTTGGGAACGTCGATCTCTCTGGCGGGAGGTCACGCAATGGTCGAGAGGTGCGATGGAGCTTCGCCGTCGACAAGAGATGGTGGTGACGGGCGTTGAAGATGCTGCTGTTAAGGGTCGACAGACGGTGGTGCTTCATCGTAGACCACCGGAGCTCGCCACACGGGTGCGATGGCTCTGAAATCGCCGGACGAGAAAGAGAAAGCCCTGCCTTCGTTTCTTCTCCCTCTTCACGATCAGTTAATGCTTCCAGAATTGTCGATGCAAGTCTTCGCTCTCCTCTCTTCCCCAGTCGAGCCAAGCGCCGACGACGTTCCTCCGATTCACCACTATCGCATTATTTGCCATTCATCCGTGTTCTTGAGTCGGCTGCTTTCGATGGTAGCCTTCCATTTCTATTTCCCCCATTCAATAGCATGTGCACAACAGCTGTTCGATGAAATGCTTACATGAATTGGGAGTGCATTTTGAGTATATCTATCTCCCTCTGTTCATAATCGGTGAGCTCCCTCCCTCTCTCTCTCTCTCTCTCTCTCTCGCTCGCTCTCTCTCTCCAATTTGCTTTAATCAGTCCAGGTGTAACAAACTCTAATCTTTATTGTATTCTCAATTGGATGGATTGAACAACAGAGAGGATCGTGTTGTATATAATTGCCCCAATTTTCACGAAGTTCAGAGAAATCAATGGAAGTCTCCCAGCCGGATTTGAAGCTTTTCAGCGTTCGGATAGTGTCAATTGATTACTACGTCTCCTCCAATTCCAGGCTTTGATCTCTGTTACAGTAGCATTCAAGGTATCTATGCTCATGAACTATATTTTATTTATCTCATCTTGAGTCATAACTTTTCTACACTCTTACAAGTGTCTCCATTTACCATGGTACTATGCGCTATCGTTTTGGAAATTTGATGCGGCTATTTGTACTTAATTGATTCAATAACACAAAGTTTTGAAGTTTTTCAATTCCTCTAAAGAAATGCATGCACTTTGCATTTGTACCACATAAATTGCTCCCAACACAACACACAAAGCCTTTATTTTAAATAACTCCAAATGAATGTTCAAGTATTAAAGCTGAAGATATGATAATTGAAATGGCTTGTTTACACCATAAAAGTACACCGATTGTACTATATAAAATAGTGAGGGTCTATGTCTGCTTTGCAAAGAAAGTTCTTTTGCAAATGTTTATATGTCTCTGTTACTTATATTTTCTGAATGGACAGGTGGGAAGGTGAATGAGGTTTCTGTGATTAGAGTATATGGGTCAACACCAGCTGGTCATAAGACATGTTTGCATATTCATCCAGTAAGTTTCTCACATTGATACTCTAAAAACTTGGGAGTTTATGAGAAACTGCAATTTGGTAGGTACTTATGGTTGACAATGTAGAATCAAGTTTCATTTTTTGATACAAAGTGTTGTTTTTATTTGATTGCTATTTGTCAAATAGCTATTGAGTATGATGAGTATGAAGTATCTTGATTATGATGCAGGCTTTACCATATCTATATGTTCCTTGTTCAGATATAGTTCATCAACCAGACCAAGAAGGTATTGCACATATTCTTAATGGCATTGATGTCATTAAATTCTTTCTCAATTGCTAATACAAGAGCTACATATAATCATCTTTTTGCTCATTGTTGGCTAATATTGATCAGGTGATGTGTGTGCGCGGATGATATCTCGCTCTTGAAAGGGCACTGAAGGTATTTTTTTTCCTGAAAAATGTGTGTTTGCAGGATCTCATGTTAACTATAGGTATAATTCTTCAACTGTTACAACTTAAAGCTAGTGTTGGATCAATGTCTAACAATTTGTTATATAATTGTACAGTGTCCCTTTCAGCCTGGTTACACAGAATGCGGGTATTATGTTCTTAAGTTCATGAAAGCGGTTGTTGAAGGACTTGAAGTGTTGAATAACAATGTAAGTAAATCTATTAGTTACTTGATGGACTTGAAGTGTTGTAGAATATTTATATATATAATTATTTAATGGTTTTTTGCTAATATATTAGTTTTTGTCTCAGTTTTGGGGGAAGAATGAATATACAGACGTCGAGCTTGATAGGGTGCGTGAAGAATGGGCTACTTATGTCATAAATTTTATTTACTAGTGATATGAATTTGACAATTACTTTTTGATGAATTTGGAGCGTATTTTTGAATTTGACACTATAGTTCGTGTAAGCCTTTTTATATATGTATGATGTTTTATTTTGCGTTATTAGACACTAAATATATAGTTTAGTTTGATTAAGATTTGGTGTGTGTGTGTGTTTTATATATATATATATATATATATATATATATATATATATATGACATACAAAGCATGTCGTAAAAATGTCAAAAATCATATTTTACAAAACATGTTGTAAATGTCCGTCATAAATACAAAAAAGTTACGAATTATGACAAAGTCGGTCGTAAATGTATGTCGCAAACGCATGTCGTGTATGTATGTTGTAATTGTTGGTCATAAAAGTCTGTCGTAAACTTTATGATAGACCTAATGTCTGTCATTTTCCTTTATGACATAGCTTTCAATGACAGACATTTGTCTGTCATATATAGGCATTTATGACAGACATTGTCTGTCAAGGAAAACCTTTTTTCTAGTAGTGTATTCGGGTTATAGAATCTCAATACGGTTTATTCGGTTTTTTTTTTTCGATTATATTAGGTTCTTAATCATCTTATACATGTTATTCGGGTTATTCAGGTAATAACCGAACCGAACCGATTAATACCTGAACCGAATCGAACCCGTATTGGTTAATCGGTTCGGTTTTCAGTTCATGCAATTACCCTTATTCGGTTTTCAGGTTATTCGGGTTCGGGTCGGTTCGGTCCGGTTCCGACCCGAATAACATCCCTAGCTTCTCGTTCTTAACAGGCCGTTAAGTACATGCTTAAACACTCATAATGGGATAGAGGTTGTTTATGGGGTTCTTAGGGTCGCCACGATTCAACCTTTTGGGGTTTGGGATAAAAAATTCGGCTATTGGATTCGAATGATTAATAATAAAACATATAACTATTGGTATAGTTTTGAAAATGTTAGTTGTTTATTTTGGTGTTTTTACTAAAAAAACAGTTATCTCTAGCAATAAAAGTAAAATCTCATAATCAAGAAACTTGTAATATCTTATATGCATCCACCCATACGTAAAGTTCTCAAATACTAACTGAAAACCTATATAAAAGTGAGTGGGCTTGTCATCCAGCAATAAATGGGCTTGGTCCTCAAAATGATGCCTTCGGCCTTTTAGAGTTTGAGGCGTATTATCTAATCGATTTATTTCTACGTTAAGGTTGTAATACTTGGTCCGTTCTATATTTATTGTCAATTTTTTACTTTTATTTTTCAGTTTTGACCTTAAATATTATTATTTGTGTTGTAAATTACTTGATGAAACTTATAAATAACAATAAAAAGACATTTAAAGCACAATCAATTTATATATTTTGGATCAAGTATTATACAATCCTAACGGTCTCTTATTTTGCTTATATTAGTTATACAGTATTAGTAACCTTTTAATCGTTTTAATCCCAAAATAAAAATTCATCCTAAGCCCACCCGTCCCCTTTATAGCCCAATTTCTTTAATTTTGTATTGGACAATTACAAATTTCCTACATACAAATATACAATAACAAACATAATTACCTACCTAAAACTGCAAATCAGCTGCAATAGATGGACAATTACAAATCATCGGCAAAGAGGCTAATGCAATTACATTCATCAACATTCTTTTTTACCAACTTCAATTTCAATAAAAAGGTAATTTCTAATTCTTATTAGTTAATGCATATTTAAGTTTTGTGTAATTTGTGGTTAATATTTTTGTTGAACACTATAATTTGTAATTAATGATAAACTTATGATTGGTTTTTTATTTCTTATACCATCGAATCTGTTTTCAAACGAAAAAAGATGTTCACGACTTACAACCACATATTGTTAGTGATAATATTAGGGTAGATGTTCATAATAGATACCCATGGTTCACAACCTGCCCACTTCCTGAAAGGAATCTGCATATTCAGCAAATAAATAGCAATTATGTCTATCAATATGTATGGTCTTGGATTATCAATAATGTTTTTTCTTTAGAATTTAGATACCTGATCGACCCGCTTACTTCTATTATGTTAATATTAATCACTATTATTGGAATTATGGTTCTCATTTATAGTGATAATCATATGTCTCATGACCACAGATATTTCAGATTTTTTTGTTTATATGAGCTTTTTCAGTAATTTGTATTTTTTAGAAAGTAGTTGGGATATGTTTGTATCTGTTAATAGGATTTTTAGTAATATGAAAGAGCTTCACTTATCCTAAAATCCTAGCTCCGCCACCGGTAATGATGATGAAAATCATGAATCTCGAGGCTTCCTGAATCTTTTGTCTGTCATCTCTCTCATTAATTGTTCTTACATGTATGATACTTGGAGATGGAAATGAGGTGCTGTGGGATATTTCTTTCCGATGCATTCCTTGAGGAAATATAGTGGTTGAGATGCTTTTGATGTTGACCCGTTCAAGTTCACATTGTCCAGTTGAGTTTCATTTAAGGTTAACTGTTTTATTTGACGGTTTTTCATAAATTGTATCTCGTTGGCTTCCCATATAGCCCTCAGCGATGTTAATATCTCTTCCACCCTTTGCTCTTTTTGCGATGACCGTTAATGATGATGTTGACCATGTGTTTTTCGAGTGTATCTTCTCCAAGTCTCTACGAACCGGAGTTGTGTTTTCCTAGAGCAACTTCTTAAGTCTATTAAGATGAATCTTTTGCGTTTGTTGGAGATCTCTAATCCCATTAGTACGGTGTTGAAGCTTAAGCATGCTCTTGTGTACACGATTCTTTGGCGGATTTGGAAGTCCAGAAACGCTTTGCTTATCAGAAAGATTAGATGCTCCTCTTTGAAGACCGTGAATGAGGTCAAACTTATGTCTTTGGATTGGATTGATTGATTAAACACAAAGTCCAATAATGGTTTTTTATTTTTACATATATCAATGGATATCAAATACTTTTAAACAACCAATATTAATATAGGAATAACTAATCACTAATCTCCGTTACTCCAGTTGAATCACACTTTATCCAAGATCGAGACAGAGTAACCGTTAAATTTTCCGGCATCCATCGTCTGATCCTCAGGCAACGGAGTTTCATCCTCACCACCGTGTCTCCAAATCTTCCAAACCCTAACAAGATCAATCACCAACATAACAAACAGAACTAAACTCCCCACAGACACAACAATGTACATATCCATCGTCTCCGCTAACCGATAAACAAATCCAAACGTTATCACCGTAGTGAGAAACCAGCTATCCAACTTCAACAATAATTGCTGCATCAATTTCTCGTGTTTAGGCAGGGAAATGAATTTAGATAAGCATAATCTCGACAAACCGAAGCCTACATAAAGCAATGCAAAGAAAATCGCAAATGAATTGTTATTGCTGCTGATGGCTTTGGAGATCGTACGGGTGAAGTTAGGGATTATGATGACGACGATAATTGGAGTCCACTGATCTTCGTCACAATCTCTTTGGATCATGCTATTTGGATTTAGGGTTACCTTCTTGCGGAGAGGGATTTGGATTCCCATTCTGATTAGTTCGAGGAGGTGAGGGTTTGAATTGTTTGTGTAGATTATCAATTTTCACAGAAAATTGAAGTGATGAAGTTTGGAGATGGAAGCAGTAGGGTTTATAGATACAGAAGCGCGAAAGTAAGCTTCCATGGAGTTTCGTAGCAGCTTGAAACTGATTTCGCAGCCGTTTCAGTGATGGGGGAGGGAAGAGTAAAGGAAATTCACAGGAAAGCATATGTTGCCGGTGGGTCTCCACCATAATAAAAAGCGAATAAAAAAATATTAACATACATAATCACAAAAATGAATAAGAAAATACATTAATTTAAAAATACAAATCTAGCCAAAATTTTTAATTACTTATCAAAAAATAGCCAAAAAAACCACTTAGCCAAAAATAGCCCCCAAAAGAGTAGTCAACTTTCCGCAGTTGACTACTCTTTTCCCCTAAGACTACTCTTTTCTCTTAATGGGCTACTGTTTCACGGACCCGTTTATTTTTTTCGTGACCCATTAGCCCAAAGTATATACTGTAAAATTTTTCAGATTAGGTCATTTTTTCCTATTTTTTTTGTTGGTTTTGCTATTTTTTTCTCTCAATGGAGCACCCGAAGAACAACCAGGTTTGTCTACTTTTCATCAAAATTTTACCGTGTTTGTGAGTATGAGTATGTTTTGTATATGGGGTTAAGTTTTTTTTGAAAAAAATTGAAAAAAAAAATATAAAACCGTAGGTTTCATACGAAACCTACGGTGTACAAGTGCCCAATGCACAGATTGTGCAGTGTCGACTTGTACACCTACGGTTTCGTATGAACCGTACGTAATTTTTTTTGACAAAACAGTAGATTAAACCCCAAAACCGTAGCTTTTTTGACAAAACAGTAGATTAAACCCCAAAACAGTAGACTTTAAAAAAAAACGTATTTTTTTTCCCAACCGTAGGCTATAGTTTGGGAAACCGTAGCTAAACCGAGAGGAAACCGTAGGTTTTAAAAACCATACAATTTTGTTTCTTAGAAATGAAAAAAAAAATTATACAAAACACGAAACAGTAGACGAATTGACGAAACAGTAGACGAATATAGAAACCTACGGTTTCGTGAGCTATATTTGGACATTTACTAATTTTTGGCTAAAAATTGCTAATCACTTCCTTAATTTGGCTAGATTAGTAATTACCCCTTTAATCTTTTACAAAATTGATGTTTTTTTTTTGTCAATAACACCTTTAGAAACGTTTTTTTTTCAGTATGAGCTTTGTTTCTAACTTTCGATTACATTTTACAATAAGTAAAGGTTTTCGGAATATGGATTTAAAACCTGGCGAAGATAATCTAATTAGAGATGAACATTTGTCTAGAAAAAAATCGGAACCGGGATGTTGGTCAAGTTCTCGGTTCTCTACGTCCTATTAAACCGGTTTTCAGTTCTTCGGTTCTCGATTCGGAATCAAACACATCCCTAAAGAGAATACTTATTTTTAAATTTTAGATATTATGAATATTTCATAGGTTACAAAGATTTAGCTTAAAGGATATGTTTCACAACTTAGAAGATTATGAAATGCTTATATTCATTTTTTTAATATCATTAGAATAGGGGTGGACATTTGGAACTATGGACCGGATCGGACCGGACCATTTTTTTGTACCTCGGGGCAGGTTCTCGATTCTAGGATTTGAGCAAAACCGGTCTGGTCTGCCTGGTTCCAGGTAAAAACCACTTTTGGACCGACTTATTTTAAAAAAAAATTGTATTTTGTGAAAATTTTTAAACAGGCATATCTCATTCCTTTTAAGTCTGATTGATATGCGAGTTTTTTCCAACTTGTAATTTAGAGTTTGTAGATGATTTTAGACTATAATTTTGTTATTTTTGGTGTTATATTCGATGAGTTACAATCCTTCAAAGATGAGATATCAAAGCTAAATATTTCAGCTTTTCATCAAGAAATTTAAACTTTTGTATTCTATGAAATTCTTTAAACAAGCATATCTCATTCGTTTTAAGTCGGATTGACATGCGGGTTTTCCTAACGTGTAATTTAGAGTATGTAGATGATTTTAGACTATAGTTTTGTTGTTTTGGGTGTTATATTCAATGACTTACAATCCTTTAAAGATGAAATATCAAAGCTGAAATATTTCAGCTTTTCAGCAAGAAATTTAAACTTTTGTATTCTGTGAAATTCTTTAAACAAACATATCTCATTTGTTTTAAGTTGGATTGACATAAGCTTTTTTCCAACGTGTAATTTAGAGTTTGTAGATGATTTTAGACTATAATTTTGTTGTTTTTAGTTTTATATTTGGTGAGTTACAATCCTTCAAAGATGAGATATCAAAGCTAAAATATTTCAGCTTTTCGGCAAAAAATTTAAACTTTTGTATTCTGTGAAATTCTTTAAACAAACATATCTTATTTGTTTTAAATTGAATTGACATGCGGTTTTTTCCAACGTGTAATTTAGAGTTTGTAGATGAGTTTAAACTATAATTTTGTTGTTTTTAATGTAATATTCAATAAGTTACAATCCTTCAAACAAATGATATAAAGTATAAACAATTAAAGTTTAACTGGTCCAAAGGGCACAAGAAACAGAAACATATTCATTTTTACGAGTTATACCGTATCAAACCCAAAAAAAGTATTCATTTTAACAACTTGTAACGTATCAAACCCAGCAACATATTTGTTTTAACGGGTTGTATCAAACTAAAAAACGCGTTTTAACAAGTTGTGTCGTATGCATGTAAAGTTGTACCGGTCGAAACGAGTCCAAGAACTGGAAAATCCAGACATGGACATGGACCCGGTAAGTCTCATCCGGTCCGGTCCACAGTCCACAATATTCTTCGAAACCGGTCCGGTCCAAATGCTCACCCCTATAATCAAGGGCCACCATTGAATCAAGACCTAGATAAGAGATTGTTGAATTACTTGGAAATAAGAGATTAGACAACTAAACCCTCAATGATAGGAAAAACTATGTAAGTCTTTGGCTATTGTAATTGTTCGAAAACAAATACTTAAATCTCGATCAACTTAAAGTATCTATGGTGCCTAGAGAAATTTAAGTGTAATATTGCCAATTTGCCATGAGTATAGATATATTTGAGCATGTGTATTCAAACATGCTTACCTCCTTTTCCTTTTCCTTTTCCTTTTCCATTTTCTTTTTCTTCATTTACTTTTCTTATTCCTCTTCGTTGGATGCCACTCACAAATGCCCTCCTCAACAAAGCCTTGATTTGCTTCTCTATCAAACAAAACCTTTCCTCCATCAATCGTTCATACAATAAAGAAGATGATCTTGATTACATCGGTCAAGCTTGGCTAGGTTCTTGTTATCATCCAATTATGATGAACTGGAACGAGAACACAAGACGTTGCAAGTGGGATGGTGTCACTTGCAACGTCCTGTGTTCTCGTTCCAGTTTGGTCGTTTTCCGGAAAAAAATTTCCAAGAAAAATGAGAATTTTGAAAACGCGGTTAGTTCATCTATTTTTCTAAAATTTTCCGTTATCTAAAATTACAAAGAAGTTGGAAATTTTTGGAAAACCGATAATCATTGTTTTCTAGTTTTTTCTAATTCTATAATTTTTCTAAAATATAAACACACAACTACTCTCACCCTACCCACCTCTACCCACCCCACCTTAACACCTCCAACCCACCACACCCCTACCCACCCACTCCCAAGCCCACCCCTACACTCACAAACACACCCCCACCCATACCCCCACAATCACACAAACAAACACACACACACACACAAGCAAACACCCCCCCCCCCCCCCCCCCCACACACACACACCTACCCCCACAAACACACACACCCACACCCACCCCCAAAAACACACACACATACATACCCACAAACACACCCCCACAAACGCACAAACACAAACACACACACACACATATACCCACTCCCACCCTTACAAACACACACCCACACCCACACACACACACCCACAAACACACCCCTATCCACACCCCACACAAACAGACACACACACACACCCCACAAACACACACACACACACACACCCACACCCACACCGACCCCCACAATCACCGACCTACCATCACCACTACCACTACCCTATCCGTAGCACCACCGCTGTCGTCGCCATCACAACCACTGCCACAATTGTCATTGTCGCCGCCACCCCACTGCCGCCACCACCACCACCACCATCACCGTCGCCATCATCGACACCACCACTGCCCCCGCCGCCGCCCCACCCCCACCCTGTCACCGATACCGTTTTCGAAAAATAAAAACCGATAGAAAAATACACATCTAAACACGTTTTCTAATTTTCTAAAACTGAAAATGAAAAATGAATAAGTTTTAACTAAACGCGTTTTCTAATTTTTACAATGAAAACTGAAAACGGAAAAGGGAAAACGAAAAATAGAAAATGAAAACTATTTTTCCATAACTAAACACAACCTTACCATCTGAGTTGTTCAACTGTTGTTCACTAAAGAGATTCTCCCTCTCGGTAAATCAGTTTGATGGCGAGATTAATGGAGGCTTTAGTACTCCATCCTCATTTATCCAACCCACAAATCTCAATTACCTTGATCTTTCATTTAAAAATTTCACCGGATTATGGGATCTGAATACATTGCTATCAATCCTACCTAACCTTCAAAATCTTGATCTCTCTTACAGTGGCTTAACTGTTGTGAACAACAATGGTACCAACCATGTCAATCCTAGGTTATAATACTTAGAGTTGGCATCGTGCAAGCTTACTGTGTTTCTGGAGTCTTTACGAGCCATGAAAAATCTTATATATTTAGATCTATCAGTTAACGACATACATGGTCACATCCCTGATTGGGCAGGGGAGATTGGAGGAAACCTATTGAATTTTTTGAATTTGTCAAATAACTTCATAAAAGGGTTGCCAGAAATTCAATTTCAATGGGATAAAATTGAGTTTCTGTATCTTCAGTCTAACCAGATTCAAGGATCGTTCCCTCCATCAATTTGCAACATGAGAAAGCTACAAATCTTGGATATATCCAATAATAGCTTTAGTGGACTGATTCCACAATGCTTTGTATCAACTCCTCTCTTTTAATGGTAGATATGAGGAACAACGATTTTCATGGAATCATTCCAAATATGTACAAAGAGTGTGGAAGATTAGAAGGGTTTATTTTGAACGGAAATCGATTACAAGGAGAGGTCCCAAGTTCCTTGTCTAAATGTCAATCCTTGAAGGTATTAGATCTTGGAAACAACTAATTAACTGGTATGTGTTTCCAGGATGGTTAGCTCATCTTCCAGAGCTGCAAGTTCTTGTCCTCAAATCAAACAGGAAACACAACTTGAAGTTGATGGTGATGGCGATGTAGATGGTGAGAGTGGATTTCCATGGAGAGTGGTGATGTTGGGGTATGGTTATGGGACCGTAATTGGATTAGTGATGGGATATGTCATGTTGTCTACGGGAAGACAAAAGTGGTTCAATGCAATTGCTGATGCAGGAGAGCACATGCTCCGAACAACGGGAAACAAGAAAAGATATGTATATATTGGAAAATGAGTTTAACTTCTCAATGTAGTGTCTAAATCAGGTTGTAGCATCGATTATGTTTTGAATTTGGCAGAAATTGTTGTTATGGTGTATTTTTTATTCCTGTGTTAGTTTTGTAAACATTAGTAAGTACTGAAAGTATGTTTTCTGTCATTGCACATAATGGATTCCACTGATAAAGTATACAAAAACACATGTTAGAGGACTACAACACAAAATCGCCTTCACTAACATTAAAAATTTGACCAATGGTTTATAATCCATCATATTTGAAAGTTCTAAACAAGAGGAGTTATGGAACTTGTTAAGCATTGGTTTTGTGGTAGTTAGATATAAGTAAAAGTTGTTATCAGATTAGTTGAAAGGTTTTACAATAGTTCAACTTTATCAACAATGCTACATTGACTTGTACACATTTAATGAAAGTTTCTATTTTGTTGTCCTTTGGGCATATTTCGAGGTTCTAAATGCAGATAGTTCAGCATAACAATCTCTATGATGGTTCTCGCTTTGATATTCCTCATATCCAAAGACTCAACCTTGGTTACAATAATTTTACTTCTTCCGAACTTCGTTGGTAGGTATTCTAATAGTCTCTTTAGGAATTATGGACTGTATGCAACCTCATATTTTAAACGATCTTCTACGAAATTCTACTCATTTGAGAGAACTCTAGATTGGTGGTATTAATAGAGGTTGGATTTTACTCTCTTTTCTTAACTCGATTTCCAAGTGTGTTTGTGTGTATGTGTCGATTACCAGATCTAGTGGTGGTTTCACATGGTGGTTAGTGGCCGTGGCAGATGGTGGTGGTAGTGAATGACAGTGGTTACACAGGTGGTCAGTATTCTTGAATGTGTGTGTTTATAAAATTCTTCATGGGTGTTTGTATGTGCGCATGAAGATGTTATTGAATATATGTGTATTCATGAAGAACAAACCATGGTATTTTTTGAGATGTTTTTTTATTTATAATTTATTGATTTATTAAAAAAAACAATATACAAAAAATGTAAAAAGAATAAAAAATGGTAGAAAAGTCATTATACATGCAATATAGACCAACCACACAATAAATGAAACCACATGGACTAGCACATAGAGTTTTCGATAGTTGTGTTGAATCAACTTGTTTTGGATAACCATAAAGACTAACCACATAATTTTGTGTATTTTATAAAATAAAGCCATAATTAATTTTCGAAATAAGGATAACTTTTGTCATAATCTTTCCAAAAGACCGCAACAAGGGAATATGTCACTTTAGCCCTACAAACTATTCGTGTTTGTTTTAAAAGCCCCCTATGTTTCTTTTTGTAGTGTAGGGGCTTAAAGTCCAATTTGAGTGGTTAATTTGGTCACTTTACTTAGACTAAGCGGTTGTAATGTCATGTGTGTGTGTTTTATCCAACATGGCAAGGGAAAATGAAGACACAGTGTACAAATAGAATGCAATATGTGTAAGTAGATACACACGTGGACGGAACGGTCCCTCTCTTGATTTGGGCTCCATACGATTAATTCATTTTCCCCGGTGGGTTTTCCTCAACGCCCACCCACAATAACTCATTGTCTATGCAATTTCATCAGGGCTTCTCACCCACAAATTTTCTTTTCAAGAAGTAGTAATCACACTCAAGATCTAAGACTCTCTCTTTTCAAGAAGTAGAAGGTAACAATATGTTTCTAGATGGCTGGGGATGGCCAGAGAGAATGGTGGGTTGGGATGGCGGTGTTTCAGGTGGCTTTGCCTTCGGTTCGTCGCCGACACAAACAACGTTGTCCATAAAGTGAAAACAGGAAACTAAAAATAAAAGCTACTGCATAAACTCCCAGGAACTTTTATTGAAGAAACTTTACTTACAACTCCAATACAAGTGAATGTTTACAGGAACCTAATCAACTGATTTTATACTAGACAGAAACATATTAGTATTAAAGTAGAAATCTATAGAAACATATAAACATTCTATATTCTTATTTCCTTATGGCGCAAGGAAACAAAGAGGACTTGGACAACACTCCAAGAAACTTGACTTCTGGACCGGATCACACATTCTAGACACTTTCGATCTCAGATATTCACCAACAATCGCCCCCTGAATTTATGAGTCGAGGGTAATTCTTGCACACCAAGCAACGCTTTCATCTGTACGAACCTTATCCGAGCTAAGGCCTTCGTAAGTGGATCTGCTCGTTGCTTATCTACCGAAACATGTTCAACAATCACTTGCTCGTTTTCCACAAGCTCTCGAATAAAGTGGAATTAAGTGTGATTGTGTTTGCTTCTTCCATGAAATACATGATTCTTTGACAGTGCAATTGTTGATTTGTTGTCTATGCGAATCAGCAGCTTCTGTTTTTTCATTCCTGTCAGCTCAGCCAATAACTCCCTTAACCATATTGCCTGACATGCAACTGTAGTAGTTGCCATGGACTCAACTTCACACGAGGACAAAGCTATTGTATCTTGCTTCTGGGAGCACCAAGTGATAGTTGAGTCACCAAGATAGAAGACATGCCCTGTTGTACTTCTTCCATCATCAACATCCACATTTTGACTGCTATCACTGTAACCTAGCAAGCCCAAATCTTTACTTCGTTTATATACTATCCCAAAAGATGGAGTTCCACGCAAGTAACGAAGGATTTGCTTAATAGCGCGTGCATGTGATTCTCTTGGACTTTGCATATAACGACTAACTACTCCAACCGAATATGCTAAGTCAGGATGAGCGTGTAAGAGATATCGTAAGCAACCTACTATTTTTCGATAATAGGTAGTTTCAACTTCTGGTTCATCTTCAGCTTTTGATAACTTTAGTCCTGGCTCCATCGGACATTAACTTGCATTACACTCTTACATGCCCGCCTCTTTTAGAATCTTCATAGCATAACTCTCTTGACAGACCTTTACACAACTGCTTTCTTGCAATACTTCAATACCCAAGTAGCAAGTTAGTTTGCCAAGGTCTGACATTTCAAACTGTAACGCCATTAGTCTCTTGAATTGGTTTATAAACTCTAAACTTGTTCCCGTCACGAACAAATCATCTACATAAACCGCAACTATTATATATATTATCCATTAAAAACCTTTATAGAAACCGCATTTTCTTGCATGCATCTTTAAAAACCCATATTTTTCAACGTGTTGTTAAGATTTAAATTCCATGCTCTCGGAGATGGTCGAAGACCATATAAAGCTTTTTCCAATTTGTAGAGTTTTGTTTCTTCACCTTGCTTCACGAAACCTTCTGGTTGACTCACGTCCACTTCTTCTTTTAAATCTCCATATAAAATGTCGTTTTTACATCTAAGTGATGAATCTTCCATCTGTTCCCGGCTGCGAGAGCAATCAATAATCTTATTGTCTCGAGTCGAGCTACTCGCGAATACTTCATCAAAATCAATGCCTTGCTCTTGTACATAGCCTTTAGCTACTAGACGCGCTTTGTACCTTGTAATTGATCCATTCGTATTTCTTTTAATTTATACAACCATATTAACCCGATAGGTTTAGCATCTTTAGGTGGAGGAACTAATTTCCAAGTATTATTCTTCTCCACGTCCTCCTCCCGTACCCTTACCTGATGGTACCCGGAACTCAAGTCTATCTTGGAGAACCAACATGTTCCATATAGCTGATCAAAGAGATCGTCAATCCGGGGGAGTGGATAACGGTTCTTCACCGTCAATTTGTTCAACTCCCGGTAATCAATGCACATCCAGTGTGAACCATCATTCTTCTTGACGAAGAGAATCGGCGCTCCCCACGGAGAACTGCTCGGACGAATCAACTGCTTGCCTAGCAGCTCCTGTAGCTGAGATGACAACTCCTGCATCTCAGGTGGTGCCAATCGGTACGACACCTTGGTGATAGGGGCCACACCTGGCACAAGGTTGATCCTGAACTCGACCTGCCTCTCCGGAGGCACTCCGGGTAACTCCTCCTGGAATACATCAGCGAACTCCCTGACGACTGGAACCTCTAAAACCAAGACCTGATCCCTGACCCGCGTATCCACCACATACGCCAGATATCCCGCACACCCGTGCAGAATATACTGTCTAGCCCTGGAAGCTGAACAGAACCCTGAACCCAACCTGGTGCCCTCGCTGTAGATAACCAGTTCTCCCTCACTTGGGGTTCGAACTACCATATGCTGACCCTCACAGTCGATCATGGCACCGAATAGACTCAGCCAATCCATACCCACTATCACATAGACTTCCCCCATGGGAATCAGAATCAAATCAATCGGGAAGGATACCCCGAAGATCTCCAGAACGCAACCCTGATAGACTGAAGAGGCAGGAATCCCGTGTTCGTTGGCGATGGAGACTCGCAACGAACACTCTAGCTCTCCTAAGGGCAAACCGAACTCTCTCCTAAATGATCGAGAGACAAATGACCGACTCGCTCCAGAGTTAAATAATACAAGAGCAGGCAGAGAGTTCACTAAGAACGTACCTAACATAGGTACAAACACATAAAACATATAAAATCAATAAGATAAAGAATAGAAACATACCAGCCACCACATCCGGTGCTGTCCTAGCCTCTTCAGCCGTAAGCTGGAAAGCGCGTCCCCGAGCCTTCGGAGGCTCTGCTCTACCCTGACCCCCATCAGTAATCCTCAGTGTAGCCGGCGTTGGAGCCTATGCCGGCCTGGCAGCTAGTAGGGGACACTGAGCCTTCATGTTCTTCCATAAAATGAGATCTAAGCAAATAGAGATCAATGTAGCAACTTTTTACCTCTAAATGGATGCTAACAACAAGTAGATGCCAGATCCAAAGCCTTCTCCTCTCTTCAATCTCCTCAACCTTCAAGTTTCCTTCTCAAAAGCACAAGTTCCACTCTCCAAGGCTCACACACACTCAAGAAAGCACCAAAATGCGGCTAAGGTTTCCTTCTGGACTGTAAGAACGATGAAAGAGGCTACAAATGAGCCATAAGTTCTTTAAATAGGGTATAAACCCCTAAAAATTAGGGTTTCCCTTTACA